AAGGATAAAACGTGTTGTCTGAGTGCCTGGATATCAATTGGGTTCTGGTCATTTGGTTGATCCTTGCGTTTGTAATTCAGAATCTGCTTTTGAGTGTTCATTTCTTACATATAACGATTTTTAGCAAAGAATTTTCAGAAATCATTACATTTTTTGACTAAAAATGCCAAGCGATTGTTGAACCAATCCGTGAAAGAATCATGTTTGTCTTTCATAGTGTGTTAGTATCCCCAAACATCCTGGATATATTGTCTAAACTGAGACTGAGAAAGTAAGGACGTATTGAGTTTGTAAAAATCATTCCCTTGATCCGTTTTTTTTCTAAAGGTCAAGAGTACTGCACACATCTTATGGTCCACCCCCGACCAAGGACTTCTAGGGAAAATGGCCGCCCAATTGAAGGGCTCGATCCAAATCATTCAACATTAAAATCAGGTGTATTCTATATCGTGATTGATTTGGGGTGCCACTATTCCGAATGCAAGTGAACAAACCCTTCCTAGGAAAGATCTGCCGATAGGAATCAAACAGATGTTCCGAGGAACACAATCGATGGATGATATTCTCATCCTCCTCAATGTATGATGGGCAAGGAAAGAGAATCTTTCATCTATCCATCGATCTATTTGGCGCCACATTAAAGTCGTCAGCCATAATGATTGAAATTCCATCCGAAATGTGCGATTGAATATCATGGAAGAACTTGACTCTTTCTCACACTTCATTGGGTCCATAAACATTTACTACACACACAATCTCTATCTCAAGCATTAGGAATGCAGATATCCAACACCCTTGTTTCTTATCTGCCGTCCAATGAACTATTTCAACCCTTGATTCCGGCGGGATCCGGATAGCTACTCCTCCTGAACCACTGTGTGGAGCAAGGGAACAAATTTTCTAAAAAGGCCAAACTACATCGTGTGCACGGATATGGGCGGAAGATTCGGTAAGATGAGTTTCCTGAATACAAATCAAATCTGGCCACAAATGAGTTGGATCCTCCCGGTTGGTATTAGTAAGGTCTTCAACCCACATTGGTGTGAGTGCGAATATGAGTAGGTTGAGTGTGGTGTGTGGGAGAGTGTTGGCCTTAGACACTGCTGTTACTCGATGGGGGTGGGGGAAGATGAAAAGGGAGGCGCAGCTACTGGCAAATGCTCAGTCCCTGTGTTAGCCGGGCCGCCACTTGCAGCAACCATGCAAATTACCTCTGCCTACCGAGAGGTATCCTCCGAGCAAACCTGAATAGCCCAAACTGCAACCTCCCTTCACCAAAGAGAGGTAGATAGCTATGCTTGCAGGGGTAAACAATATAGCCTTATGAGTAGTGGTAGGTAGGTAGGAAAAAGATGAAAAACTTCATATGTTCCATGACATGGCAGAAGCTACAGCTGTCCCCCGATGAAGAGAGCACAGCTTAATGAGTAAGAGAGAGAGAGAGAGAGAGAGAGAGAGAGAGAGAGAGAGAGAGAGAGAGAGAGAGAGAGAGAGAGAGAGA